TTTTCATGTGCTTATAAATTTTTTCCAGTTATTTTTCCATTGCTGGTTATGATTAGAGAGCATACTTTGTATAATTTCAATTCTTTGTGATTTGTTATGGTTTTTGACCCAGGATACGCTCTATCTTGATGGCGTACGTGCAACTTGAAAGAGTATATATTCTGCTGCTGGGTCAAGTGATCTAAAAATGCCAACTAAAGCTGTTGTTCAGTTGTTCTATATTAGCTGATTTTCTACTAGTTCCATTGATTACTGAGAAGAATGTTGAGGTCTACAACTATAATTAGGGGTTTGTCTATTTCTCCTTTTGGTTTTGTTTTGTTTTCGCTGTGTTTTTTTTTGTTTGTTTGTTTTTTAAGATCTGCTGCTTGGTGTGTATATTTAGGATTGCATGTGTTCTTAGTAAATTGAACCTTTTCTGTTTCCATGCTTTCTTTATCCCCAGTAATTTTCATAACTTTGAAGTCTACTTTGATATTAATATAGGCATTCCAGCTTTTGTTTGGTTATTATTTGCACGAGTATATATATTCTTTTAGACCCATCATTTTATTTTAATTTACCTATATCATTATATTTGAAGTGAGTTTCTTGTAGAGAACATATAGTTGGAACATGTTTAAAAAATATGTTCTGCCGAAACCGGTTTGGCTCAGTGGATAGAGCGTCGGCCTGCAGACTGAAAGGTCCCAGGTTCGATTCAGGACAAGGGCATGTACATTGGTTGCGGGCACATCCTCAGTGGGGGTGTGCAGGAGGCAGCTGGTCGATGTTTCTCTCTCATCAATGTTTCTAGCTCTCTATCCCTCTCTCTTCCTCTCTGTAAAAAATCAATAAAATATATTTTTAAAAAATATGTTCTGACTATATCTGTCTTTTAATTTGGGTATTTAAAAAATTTACACTTATTGAAATTATTGTTGTGTTTGAATTTAGGTCTATCGTTTTTTGTCTTCTGCTTGTTTTTGTCTGTTTTTAATCCCTGTTTTTTCTTCCTTTTTTCTTTTGGGCTATTTGAACATAATTTTGTACTTCACTTTAATTTTCCTATTGTATTTCTTATAAAACATTTGCATATTTTGTTTTGTTTTGTAGTTATTACTGTAGATTTGGTCTCAAATTGATTATCGAAATTTCCCCAAACAAAAAAAACCTCAAAGATTTATTGTCACTAAATTATCCAGAGAATGTTTCACAAATCATTTTGTGTTTTTCAGAGACTTAGAAGCATGAATAGACTGTTGAACCTCAGAGGGAAGGTAGGGGAGAGTGGGTGGGAAGAGATCAACCAATGAACTTGTATGCATATATGCATAACCTGTGGACACAGTAAATGGGGTGTTGAGGGCCTGGGGTGGGAGTGGGGAGAGAGATGGAAGAGGTTAATAAAGGAAAAGGAAGACCTATGTAATACTTTCAACAATAAAGATCTAAAATAATAATAATAATAATTATTTCAGGTTTTCTAAAAATTTCCAGGTAAATGCACAGCCTTCTAAGGGAAACATATTGAAGGGTGCAATGTTCATGCTAACGTGTAAATCCTACTCTCATTAGTTCAAATTGGCCTTAGACTTGCATATCTTCTATTTTTATCAGACTTGGCTTACTTTACTTGAGATCATGAAAAACTTCCCTAAAGCAAGCTCTTCTGCCTGGATTCTCTCTCCCTGTTAGCAATGCTTTCTTGCGGAAAGCCAAGGTTCAAATATTGAAGTGTGCCGAGGTGCCCACTTAATTAAGTAGGAATTAACATTATTATACATATCAATACAAATAAACATCTTTTATACATTTCTAAAGAAAGAAAAACCAAAATCTTTTTTTTTCCCCCCCCAAGGATGGCTCTGGACAAACCATCATTAAGAAATAAAATAAAAATAAATTTTAAAAAATCATTATTAACAGAGAAAGAAAATAGAAAAGTTTTTATCTTTAAATAGTTTACAGTATATACTTATCTTTCGGTAATCTGTAGCGACATAACTCCATGTAAACATTCAGGAAAAGGGGAATGCTATGTCATGACTTATGAAATAATAAATTTGGGCTCTGGTTACTGAATTTTATTTACAACTCTTTTATACATTAGTTAACAATTATCTTACTTCCTTTATTTTTTTTTTAATTTTTTAAAAAAATATATTTTATTGATTTTTTTACCGAGAGGAAGGGAGAGAGATAGAGAGCCAGAAACGCCGATGAGAGAGAAACATCAACCAGCTGCTTCCTGTACACCCCCTACCGGGGATGTGCCCGCAACCAATGCTCATGCCCTTGACCAGAATCGAACCTGGGACCTTTCAATCCACAGACCGACGCTCTACCACTGAGCCAAACCGGTTTCGGCTATCTTACTTCCTTTAACAATAGCTCTTGAATAACAAAATAAATTGTCAGCAAATTCAACCATAAATTTAAAAATTAAGTGAAAAATACTCTTGAAGTTTCATAAATGCAAGCGTAGTAATATTAATATATTTGTGTATATATACTGATTAAAGTGTATGTTCTTTGTGTAAGGTAAAATAAGATTATTCCCTTGCCATTGTTGCAAGTTTGTACACTTTATGAAAGGTTTTACTATTTTCCCCAGCTTAATTAACGTGCACTTCAGTTGAACACAACAGACAATAATGGTATTATTAGTGAGCTGTGGTAAAATAAATGGTCATGACCACTCAGCAGATCATGTAAACCTAAAATATGCCCCAGACTTTCCAGTCTCAACCTGTAGATCTCATTATTAAATAATTTAGAAAGAACTACTAGAGATGAGTACATGAGCAGGCTGAACTTTGCAACTTTGCCAGTCACAAACGCATATATTTTTGCCTTTAAAAAGAAAAAAGAAAATAAATAAATAAATAAATAAATAGAAACAATACTATTCATTTCCAATGAGACTAGGTGTAAGGGAAAAACAAAAATAAAGCCATGGATTTTGTTGTTGTTGTTAATCCTCACATGAGGGTATTTTTTTCCACTGATTTTTTTAGAGAGTGGAAGGAAGAAGAGATAGAAACATTGATGTGAGAGAGACACATTAATTGATTGCCTCCTGCATGCACTCTGACCAGGGCTAGGGATTAAGCCTACAACCGAGGTACATGCCCTTGACTGGAATTGAACCTGAGACCCTTCAGTCCATAGTCCCATGCTCTTTCCACTGGGCCAAACCAGCTAGAGCAAGCCATGAATATTTTTAAGTTGCGCTATATTATTTTAACTATTTAACTAAAAAGTTTAATTACCAGCCGAAACCGGTTTGGCTCAGTGGTAAAGCGTCGGTCTGCGGACTGAAAGGTCCCGGGTTCGATTCCGGTCAAGGGCATGTACCTTGGTTGCGGGCGCATCCCTGGTAGGGGGTGTGCAAGAGGCAACTGGTCGATGTTTCTCTCTCATCGACATTTCTAGCTCTCTATCTCTCTCCCTTCCTCTCTGTAAAAAAATCAATAAAATATATTAAATAAATAAAGAAAGAAAGAAAGTTTAATTATCAGATCAGTGCACCATTTTTTTTTTAATCCTCACTGGAGGATATGTTTGTTTGTTTGTTTGTTTATGTTTTAGAGAGAGAGGAAGTGAGAGGGGGCGGAGAGAGAGAAACATCAACTGGGGATCAAAACCAAAACCTTTTTGGCAATATTGGATGACACTCCAACCAGCTGAGCCACCTGGCCATGCCAAGTGCACCAGTTCTTGTTTAAACATGTAATACCTTTGAAAGTAGATTAAAATAATCTTAAAAAATAAGCCAGTGATAAAAATGAATAGACCTTAACAGCTTGACAGAAATGAAATAATTTCCAATCAGTTACCATTAATGGGCACACTCATTTAATATAGCAGGTTTTAACATCCATTTAACAATTCTTTAAACAGGCACTTGATAGAGTACCTTTTAGCTATCATATTCAATAGAGAGGCATCACAGACACAAAAAGTATTACTTTATAATTAAGGATTCAAGATGGCAACTACTTAGATTCCATTGCCAATATGGATTATAACAAATCCAGTGAGTATTTTGTTTTTCAATTATTCATAGAAAATTTAATCCTGATTAAGTATCCTTGGGCAGGAATTCATAGGTAATTGATGACTGAAACCAACATTTATGTGAAATGCTCCTATTAATTTAATCTGTGTATATGGCTTAATTATGATTGAGGATTCAATGTAAGAGAAATGAATTATATCAGGATTAAAATTAGTATGATACCATATGGCACAGTATTTTTTCCTTCTTTCTTTTTTAACTTGTAAAACTACTTCTCCCTTTACCTAAATGCTCAGGTTTTAAAACCCTTTATCCTTAAAACGCATGTAATGTATCTAATTTTATTTTTCATAAACTGTCCAAAACTCTTTGCTAATCAAACTAAAACTGTAATTAGAGCAAAATGTTAGAAGAAAATGGAGAAAACCCCACCCACAAATAAACAAAAGCTTATTCATTTAACTATGAATATATTTTATATTTATTTCCTGAATTTTACTTTCAATTCCTTTAAACTCCAATATGAAATGCATTTTCTTTAAAGCATAAAAAAGCTTTAATCAGTAAAAAAGTTTTTAATCAGTATACTACACTGATTTCATAACTGGACTTAGTTCAGATATGCATAAGAAAGTAATCATTTAACTGATTACTTTTTATAAGACTATCAAACCTGAGTTAACTATCGACATAAAACAAGGCATTATAAGCAGTGCATCTCTTACCAAAATATAATTCTTTTCCATCTTTATTTCCATGTGGAAACCACATAAATCACCTTATAACAATACTCTTCAAAGTTTAAGTATTTTTCAAAACATTTCATTTATTTCCTTTTTCAGTTTTGGTACTGCTTAAATGCAGTTGTATAAATAACATGCTCTGTTTTCTATGTTCAATTTTTCATACCAAAAGTATGAAAAAAAAAAGTCAGTGTATTTGGATCCTTATTGCACTCTGTTTAATCAATTCACTTTTCCTTTAAGAAAATCAAGTATCAGAAGTGAGGCCGACTTTTGTGTCCAGAGGATATGGTCAGTGGTAGTGTTACTGAGGAGAGTGAAGAAACTTCCCAGTACAGACTGTGGGACAGAAAGAGTCTGTAGAGAATAACCATGGAAATAGACTGGCAAAGGATAACACCTATTGTAATAATCTGAAAAAAACAGAAAGAGAATGTTTTTATTGCATGCAAAACAGAGAATTCAATTAATCACAAACCTGTATGTACTTTATACATACATATAGGATATTGCCAAAGTAGGCTTACAGTTGTTCATATGGAAAATAGCATCATCATTAATAAATAATATAATAAACCCTGTGCTTTGTGTACTCACAACTGTAAACCTACTTTGCCCCACCCTGTATATGTACACACACTATTCTCCATCTCGCCATGGGTACATTTTATCAAATCCATTTTCAATAGGAAAATATGACTAATGTTCAGACCTGTGATTGTTCAAAGGTTAAATTCCTTTAACATTTTATAGACACTAAAATAAGACAGAAAAGAATAATATGCTATGCCATTCTCTCCTTACGGTGCATACACTACGGAAAGTAATGAGAAAAACCAGGCTCCTGGCTAATTTAGCAATGGGAATAAAACATGCCCCGGAGTCCTTTAAAAAATCCTCAAGTTGCTTCTCTATTTTTGTAGACCCCCTTCCTGTCTACTTACTCTTTGTAAATACCTTAGGCTCAAGACACATTTGTGAGTTCAAGCAAATACTGCACTGCTTTGAAGGGCTTTTGGCAGAACTCCACTTTGAAATGATGGAGCTGTTCACCAACAAGGTAGGTATCAACACAATCAAAATGTGGCATACCCGAACGCGGCATTCCAGTCCAGTCTGTTAAAGCAACTAGGCTGATTTTTATAAATCTATCTTGATTTTTACTATTACACAGCAAAAAAGTTTGTCATATTTCTTAACAAAGATGTGTTATGAATCCTCTAATTTATGCATGGCACTATGAAATAGGTTACAATATGCATAACAAAGCTATTTTCCATCATTTTGCTTATAAACTAAATTTAAAAATTTGTCTTTTATATTTTAAACTTCTAAATTATACCCTCCCCAGTTCGGCATTTTGTTTCAAAGTTTTATTTTGAAGAACTTAAGAAGCCTCTGAAAGGATAAACAGACCCAATAAAAATTACCAAAAACTATTTTGCTCATATATACTACTTACCTTATCTCTTTGGTAGTCATTAAACATGAAAGATATGCATGCAAGAACTGGGTGGCATAAAAACCACAAGACACAGCCCTGAAACAAAAGAAAAGTAAGTCAAGATAAGTGAAGCTATGTCTTTATTTTCAGAATGTACAGACCTGTGATTGTTCAAAGGTTAAATTCCTTTAACATTTTATAGACACAGTACGCATATTTAAGAGTCTTAATTGATATCAACTAGACTTTAGAGAATTTGCAATAAAAAGGTAGAAATAAATTTGCCGTTGCTACTTTGCTTCTAATCAAATTTTCTACAGTATTTAAAATCTTAAATCTACATTTGGACATTCTGATACACTATGAATACAATAAGTAACAAATTAGTAATTGAGAAAAACCAATGTACAAATGTATATTTCTGTAAAAAAAAAAAGAATGTATATTCATATTTAAAAAATATATTTCTATTGATTTCAGAGAGTAAGGGAGGAGAGAGATAGAAACATCAACGATGAGAGAGAATCATTGATTATCTGCCTCTTACATTTCCCACACTGAGGGATCGAGCTTGCAACCCAGGCATGTGCCTTGACCAGAAATTGAACTGTGACCTCCAGGTTTATAGATCGATGCTCAAATACTGAGCCACACTGGCCAGGCTGTACAGTCATATTTGTGTGTGATATAAACACACACACACACACACACACACACACACACACACACACAGAAATTGTGAAAGAATACACAAAAAAGTGACTGATGGTGATTACCTGTTTGAGGGTGTTAGTACAAAAGAGAGTTGAACTAGGCAGGTAAGAATGGAAAGCTTTTTAACATTATACTTTTCAAAGATCTTTTTTCTATTTTTCTCAAAACCTCGGCAACATATTCTCTTTTCCAAAATTAAATTTGAAATAAAATAATAAGTTAATAAATAATAATTGTTGAGATGCTTAGCATATTTAAAATAAGAAAAATAAAGATGTAAAAAATGTGATTACTATGCTACCATTTATATAAAATGGAGGGAAAAAACATACAATTATATATTTAAAAATTCTCTGGGAGGATAAATTAAAACAGCAGTGATTATATGAGGTGATAATTGAGTGGATGAAAGACAGCGAAGAAACATGCTTTGCTACTCTTTAAATACTTTTGAACGTTTGAACCCATTCAAAAAGTTAAATTATAATATATAAAAATAAATGTTTAAATTCAATGAAAGACTTTGATATTGTTTTAAACATAAAACAAAGAAGAAATTTAGTTTTTAAACATCTTAAATACGTAACCACTCTTCAAACAGTAAGCACTGCTTTCCCTGTAAAAATTTGGAAGGGAAATAGCCTTTTCTTGCCTGTTTGGTGCTCAGAGCCTGAAGGTGTTTTTGGGCTGCAGCCACTTTAAACTGTGCAGCAGAAATAAAATAAAGGAGGCTGGCCCTTCTTCCCCCGCGGCCTCCGACTCCTCAGAGGTTTCTATGGAGCAGGGTGGGCTGAGGAACAACTCATCAGAGTGCTATTAAAGTTGCCAAAATGAAGGAAAATGGATTCTTTCAATCCGACAGGAAAATATAACCTTCTACGGAGGAAGGCTTGCAGAGTCACTGCCCAACCTCTCTCCTGGTCTTCCCTTTTATTAGATACGTATAGAAAAAAAAATTAACTTCGCTTTTAGATCTCACTATCATATGAAGGGCAGTGTGGGGGGAATAAAGTGAACATCTCATATGGAGGTAGTGTAATGGCTAAAACATAATATGGACTCAGCTTCCTGTTCCATCTGCTTATGCCAATGGATAGCTCCTCACACTTTGTTTTAAATCACTGCACAATTCTGAGTAACAGTAACTAGTAATAGTCAATTAGTGTTTTTATGAGAAATGTAAACTGTATTCTAATTTTTTAAAAATCTTAAATTCTGATACTACAGAAAAATGTCAACTCCCTATTGGTAAATAAATCATGAACCAGACAAAAATGACCTGCCAAAAATTACATGGAAACCACTGTTCTACGGGTTCTATAAAATGAGGATAGTATCATCCACATGTCATAGGTTGTGAAGATTAAATGAGTTGAAGCATATGAAGGGCTTACAGGAGTGCCTGGCACATAATAGTAAAAGTTTAAGGAGTGTTGGCATGTAGTTGCCTATATACTTTCTAAAAGAAAGCAGAACAGCCCTAACCTGTTTGGCTCAATGGATAGAGCGTCGGCCTGAGGACTGAAAGGTCCCAGGTTCGATTACGGTCAAGGGCATGTACCTGGTTGTGGGCAGGAGGAGGTGTGCAAGAGGCAGCTGATCAATGTTTCTCTCTCATCGATGCTTTTCTCTATCCCTCTCCCTTCCTCTCTGTAAAAAATCAATAAAATACATTTTTTTTTAAAAAAGAAAAAGAAAGCAGAACAAAGCTGATAATTAGAAGCCATTTTCTAACCAAACCCATACTTTGGCGAAAGTGATGTAGAACTCTCTTTTCAGGGTACTTCTCTCCACTGTGATGATTTGGTAGAGTCCACAGCCTAATGACAATGCCAAGCAGATTCTTAAAATGATTAGCAGGATCCCTGCTAAGTTGTGGTGTGAATAATAGCTGTGAGGACTGGTCTCTCCAAACTGTTCCCAAAGTAGCAAAATACTCTGGAAAAAAATAATAATTAAAAAAAAATCATATCTGCTTACAATAAAGTTCTTTTCAACAATTTTAAACATCCATTTAAACACACCAACATTCCTAAGGGGTTCTAAGATTTATCAGACTATAAAGTTGTCAGTTAATAAAGCACAAGCAGTCTTTTCCTTACTGATACCCTAAGCTAGAGAAAATGGATTACCAAATGAGACCACATACAAAAGATAAAAAATGCTACTGCTATCATGACTCAAGTAAGATATCTGTAAGGATAAAAATAAGTTGAAATGATTAAGAGAATAAATATAAACTTTTTTCCAAATCCATCTTTTTCTTCAACACCATATTTGAAATCAAACTGTCTTGCATTCAAGACTATCTTGAAATAACTTTCAAATATCTCAGTATTTTTTGTAATCCAGAAATAAACAAGTTAGAATTGCTGATTAAGATTTTACTCTTTTTCCATGATAACCTTCCTGGGTAAAGGAGAATATATTTTTAATATTCATTATAAGCCACCAAGAGCACAGTTACTTATCCTTCTTTTTCTCCCATATTGTTACTGTGAAAGTAAAAAGCTCAGCAAGTTTCTTATCAAGCTGTTCTATTTATTGCTACTCAGTAGAAATCTGTGTTCATATTTCTTCCATCTTTACCAAACATCAATTACTTAAATAAATTACTATAATAATCAGTAAGCCTCTGTGCTTCCTCACTTGCCAACCCAGATCTCAGAATCGCGACTTCTGTGGTTTCCAAAATATTCATATCAAAACTCAAGTATTAATTCCAATTCTTAGACTTTATTAACCAGCAACCTCTTCTTTTTCTCATTCTCAAATCTTGCTACTGTTCTTGATAGGTGATTTCCTTTGTTATCTGGCACACATGAATTTCCTTCTTGGACTAAATATTTGCTCTGTATTACTAAAAATGTTACTCCTCCACTCCACCCAATTGTACCCATCTGATTTCTTACTCACATTTCTTTTTTTTATTATTACATTTATTGGGGTGACATTGGTTAATAGGATCAAACAGATTTCAGGTGTGGGTTTCTGTCATAAGATCTGTATATTGCGCTATGTGCCAACCATCCAAAGTCAAATCATCTGTCACGATATATTGCAACCCACTCACCCCTTATCCTCTCATCCTCCATTTCTAAAATTAACTTTTACAACAAAAAGTGCTATTATAGAATTACTATTTTCTGCTATCTATGTGAGGTAATGAATATGTTTATAATTGTCTCACAATGTGTGTGTATATATATCAAAACATCAAGTTGTGCATCTTAAATATATATAATTTCTACTTGTCAATTATACTGCAATAAAACAGAAAAAAAAAACCCTACCAATTCCCATGATTCACATGTTAACAATTCAAACTCCCATATTTTCATATATGCATGTGGATACGTGACTTATGGAATATACATAAGTATTCTTATAGTCTCTGGTTGCCTGTATCATTCACCTTGTCTGAGTTGTTGAGTACCAGGGTTAGCTCTAATGTATTCTTCACAAATGCTCACATACAATCTAAGGTAGTGTAATCTCAATTCTTAATTTGTATTTGTCCAGGATAGTCAAGTTAAATCACAATAAAATAATAAAATTTAAATTTTTAGCCGAAACCAGTTTGGTTCAGTGGTAGAGTCTGCGTACTGAAAGGTCCCAGGTTCAATTCTGGTCAAGGGCATGTACCTGGGTTGCGGGCTCATCCTCAGTGGGGGGTGTGCAGGAGGCAGCTGGTCGATGTTTCCCTCTCATTGATGTTTCTATCTATCTCTCTCTCTTCCTCTCTGTAAAAAATCAATAAAAAATATATATAAATTTTAAAAGTTATTCATTGAGAAATGAGAATTTAACCTGATATTAACACTACACTCCACAAATCCTGAGTCAAACACATTAAGTTGTAGAATCTTGTCTTTGTTTTAATTACTTTTAATTCAACTTTTAATCTTTATTGTTGAAAGTGTTACTATGTTTCCATTTTCCCCCCATTGACCGCTTCTAGTCCCCCACCCTCCACCCTTCACCACACAATTGAATGTGTTCATGGATTATGCATATATGCATACAAGTTCTTAGGCTAATCTCTTTCCACCCACCCATCCCCACCTTCTTTCTCATTAGCCTTCCCTTCCTGGCATTATATTCTTTCTAAATACCACTATCTGTGATAGTCTCTTTCTAAATTCAATCATGTGAATTCAAGACACCTACTTAATTCGGCACCTACTGTACTTATTAAATACTAGAAGTACAGGGAAGAATGAAACACAGACCTTATCATTCCTTAATGAATTTTGCAACTATTTAATGCACTAAAATTTAGATTATAATGTCATTGTCAGACCCCAGATGTATATTTCATTTTTATCTATAGTCAATGATGGTTACAAACTCAGTACAAATTTTTATGTTTGTACCTTTCACCTTAATTTTTATAAAGCCATTGCACACAGGCATATGGAGACTGTAAAATAACATCTATACTATCACTAAAGAGGGGGAAAAGGCACAGAGGACCTTTCTAAAATCCCAAATTTGTTTTTGTAATTGTTTTTAAAAACAAGATCCCATTCTATTTTTATACTACATTTTGCTTTTTCATTGATCTCAGATATTAATTTGAATTATTTCATATATAGAAAAACTGAACCTAAAGACCCTTGCCAGTGAATGAATCTCAAATTTATTGATTCACTCCTTCAATATTGAATACTTACTATGTGCTAGAAAATATGAAAAGAAAACTATTAAGTAGGAAATGAGAATCTAATCTAGTATTAAACATATTGTATTTGAATAAGCAATAGGAAGCACAAATTCAGGTAAATTAAAATTAAATTCAGTACTAAGAAGATTAACAGGTTATTTGATCTATCACTCTTTAAATTCACACTTTAAAAGAACGCAAATTACTTATGGATCCCAATTTTGATATGAGATAGGTCTAGATTTGCATTTCTGAATATTGAAAAGCAGAAACACTGAATGCCAATACTCACCTGTGTTATGACAATGAACACAGCAATGCCAGTGGATGCAGGAGTAGAATCCCACTGCAGAGGTCTGCTTTGAGACTTCTTCATTCTGACTATTGTCCAGCCCATGCATAGACTCAGAAGTAGGAATAACATGTGAATTTGGGAAGTGATGTCAAAAACTAATGGGAAATAAAAAACCAAGGACAACCAAGTTTTCATAATACAAAGAATGTGGTCCCTTTTGAGTTGAGAATATAATTAATTTTTAACTACAAAAAGATGGCATTTTCAAAGAGAACTGGTAAAATTCAATAATAAGATGAATTCATGTGTCACAATTCTTTTTTTAAAATATATTTTATTGATTTTGTACAGAGAGAAAGGGAGAGAGATAGAGAGTTAGAAACATCGATGAGAGAGAGTCATCGATCAGCTGCCTCTTGCACACCTCCTACTGGGGACATGCCCGCAACCAAGGTACATGCCCTTGACCGGAATTGAACCCAGGACCCTTCAGTCCCCAAGCCGACGTTCTATCCATTGAGCCAAACCGGTCTCGGCAATGTGTTACAATTCTTAAAAAAGCAAAATGTTGCCATTAAATTTGTAAATACATATGAGAATAGTTAAAAGGAGTGCAATGCTCCTGTTTTAGTACATGGAACATGCATATGCCAATAACCCACTTTATTAAGATAAACTTTAGCCCTAGATAGTTTGGCTCAGTGGATGGAGTGTTGATTTTCAGACTGAAGGGTCCCAGATGGTTAAGGGCACATGCCTGGGTTTTGGGCTCAATCCCCAGTTGGGGGTGTGCAGGAGGCAGCCAATCAATGATTCTCTCTCATCATTGATGTTTCTGGCTCTTTCCCTCTCCCTTCCTCTCTGAAATCAATAAAAATACATTTTTTAAAAAGAGATAAACTTTAAATCTCAGTTTCCCATTTTCTTAGCTTTTTTAAAGTACATAATCCTGTTTATATCTCACTGCTTATTAAAAGGAACACATTTTAAATATGATTTTTGCCATGTAAAGAATACTGGTGCCTTCATTTCTCAGTTGCTAATTTTTTTTTGATGGCTTAACTACAATTTGAAGAGTATTTTCTAAAACTATTCATAAGAAATAGCATGACAATAAAACATATAGCTGCAGTAACATCCAATTATGTTGGCTTCAAGTGTCAGAGTCCCGAGAAAGAAAATACTCCACACTTTAGCGTGATGTGCCACCAGGTGGCCATCACCTACACTGCAGGGAAAGCCTGCTATGTTAAAGAGGATGCAACAAAAGCACCTGCATGCACCCTGTTCAGGGCCACAAGAAAAAGATAACCTATAAATACTTCAAGGCCTATTAATTTTAGAACGAGATTATTTACTGATTTTAAAGAGATTATCACTTTTCACAGTGTACTTTACTCCGGATTTTAGAATGAACATGTAATCACAATTTAATAAAATAAAACTTTTTTCTAATTGCCATCCATAACGTTTAGGTCTACAACTTTTAACTTCTTTTACATAAAGAAATTCTTGGAGAAACAGATAAAACTAATTATAGTCTAATACTTATATTTAAAGTTATAAGCAAAAAACCTATTAGTATATTTTTTCAGATACATTTTGACATGTTTTCCCCCTGCTCTGCCATCCAAATTAAAACTGGATACTCTACATTGGCTTATATATTTGTAATAATGAATTCTGATAATAAATGTCACTACATTTGAATGAGATAAAATATCATAGCCTTTCAGATCAAGCACAGTTTTCTTTCAAAAATTTTAAATGACTCTAATGCTAATTATTTTTATTAAGCATTCACAAGTACATATTCAGTTACTTAAAAAAGTCATAGCCAAAGAAATATTCCTACATAAGTTGCTAATCTGCAAAACCAAATACATGGGGTGGGGGCTAGGGCGCGGAAACATCTGACTTTTCTGGTTCATTTCTTTTTTCTTTTTCTTTTTTAAAATATATTTTATTGATTTTACAGAGAGAGGAATTGAGAGGGACAGAGAGTTAGAAACGTCAATGAGAAACATCAACCAGCTGCTTCTTGCACACCCCCCACTGGAGATGTGCCTGCAACCACGGTACATGCCCTTGACCGGAATCGAACCCAGGACCTTTTATTCCGCAGGCCCACGCTCTATCCTCTGAGCCAAACCAGTCCCGGCTGGTTCATTTCTTTATATACTAAGTTAAACACATTTATAAAAATAAAAGCATAATATGCTAATTAGACTGAATGTCCTTCTGGACAACATTCTGGATGAAGCCAGGGCTGTGAGGGAAGCCTGGGTCCCGGGTGCCAGAGGGAAGCTGCTGCTGGCAGCCAGGGGAAGAAAGGCCTACTCTTGCATGAATTTTGTGCATCGGGCCTCTAGTCTATTTTTATAAAAGGCTAAATGTCTGTCCCTCCAACAGGTAGCTATGATGTGCACTGACCAATGCTCAACGCAGGGGCTGCCATAACATGCACTGGCCATCTATATTATAAAAACCCAGTGGCCCTAACACCGTAACAACCAAAGACCCGCATGGGTGGGCGGGGCTGTGAGCACAGCAAGGGACACGCGGTGGGTGTGCTGGGCTTCTAGATATAATACTGTAACTTTGAGGATAGGTAGAACAATGTTTATTTGTTGTTAAAAAATAATTAATTGTAGGTAAAATACACAGACTACACCAAAATTCTATTTTGTGGGATTTGATTAAAAATCTTAAAATTTTAACCATTTAACTAACCAAACCTGTTGTCAAAAACTACCAAAACGAATAATATTGATTTACTGCAATTTTATTAAAAAAAGACTTTTGCTTTGCCTGGCCAACATGGCTCAGCAGTTAAGTGTTGATTGATTTATTTATTTTAAAATATATTTTCATTGATTTCAGAGAGGAAGGGAGAGGGAGAGAGATTGAAACATCAATGATGAGAGGGAATCATTGATTGGCTGCTTCCCACATGCCCCCAACTGGGGATCAACCTTGAATAGAAAAAATTGTATTAGGTCAGAAATAATTTACAAAGAAGAAAAACAAACAAGCAGCAGCAGATAGCAAGTTTACATTAAAAGTATAAATAAATAAAAGGCTCAGAAAGATACTCACATTCTGCCAAACTTCCCATAAAAGGTAACCCTATTCCATCTCTGGAGTAACTGAGGAATTGAAGAGGAGAGTATCAGTATAAATTACAAGTGTGAAAAAAATTGTTTATAATCAAATCAAGCATAATTTTGGTGGACTAATTAGGATTAATTAGACGTAATGATGAACACAGTTTTAGTGGTTGTAAGTTACCTGGAGAAATGAATGTAATTAGCTAAAGCTGAACCAGCTTGTAACAGCAATGCAGTTGTCAGAACCTTTAAAATCATGTGCATGGGTCCTCCTTTATTAATAGCCTGCCACAATGATTGAGCATAAATGCAAGCAATCACAAAGTACACTAGGACTAGGAGGAAAAAGAACTCATGTAACCCTGTAAAGAGAAGAAAGGAGTTTGCTTCAGTAAAACAAGCCAGTTATAGTATTGGGTTGCTTTCAAATTTTTCTATCAATATATATTTCTAGAACTTGTTTTTTAACTGAAGTCATAGAATTCACTTTTGTAAGTGGGGGGAAAAAGGAGATCATTAAAATTTAAAAATTTTATACTTTTGGACAGTTCTAACTATAGGAAGATAGATTAAACTAGTTAATCTATTAAAAAGCATAGTGGTCAAGGAATAAACCCAAAGACTACCCATAAGGTAAAAATTTCATTCAAAAATAGTAAATTAAAACAATGATTTCAGCATTGTTAGGTATACTTTTTAATCTCAAAGTGGATTTCTTTTGTAAGACACTTAGAAACAGGTTTAGTTAATCAACAATAGTAAAATATACCCTGAAAACAAGTCTCAAGTGAGATCCAAGGGTCCCTATCAGCAGTATTACTAGGGAACTTGTTAGAAATGAAAATTCCCGAGTCTCACCCCAGACCTACTGAATCAAAAACTCTGGGTGCAGGGCCCAGCAATCTGTGCTTTAATAAACCCTTCAGGTGACTCTAATTGCAGCTAAGTGCCAGAGCCACAGCTCTGGAATGTATCATTACCTTAAATTTCCATTTGGACAAAGCTTCAAAATACCTGTCCTGACCAGAGCCCCCTTCTGAAGTTAACTGTCTTCATTCTGGTCAACGAGGAAACCCTGTGGTACCATGTGACTCCACTTCAGTTAACTTATACTATACCACCTGACTAAATGGCCACTAGTCCAAAAATTGGCCATTGGCCAAAAACCAGCATAACTTAGTTTTCAAAAATAAATTAGGCTAATCATATTCTCTTGGGAAGTCAAACCACAAAACATGTAAAGGATTAGGCAACAGAAATGGAAGCTAAAAAGGGCTAATTTGGGGATAGGCCAAAGGAGTCAATCCAGACCATGATAAAATAAAAATTTTGAGTACACCGAAATTTTGGATGATCAAAGGGAGCTGGTGAGTAAAGACAAAAACAAAGCAAATGTGCAGACTTCATATTAAAAATGGTGCCAGTCACCCTGACTGGTTTGGCTCAGTGGATAGAGCATCGGCCTGCAATCTCAAGGGTCCCAGGTTCGATTCCGGTCAAGGGCATGTACTTTGATTGCAGGCACATCCCCAGTAGGGAATGTGCAGGAGGCAGCTGATCCATGTTTCTCTCTCATCGATGTTTCTGACTCTCTATCTCTCTCCCTTCCTCTCTGTACGAAATGGATAAAAATATCTTTAAAAAAAAAATAGTGCCAGTCATTAAGCGGTCTCTCGCTCCTTCCTACCAGCAGCTTTCAGTTCAGACTTCTTGCATCTTCATGATAAATCCCTCCCATCCCTTTCCTGAATTACCTGGAATATTTTGACTGTCTTAATTTTTCAGAAATTTCAGGAAAATTTCATAGCTTTGAGTTTAATGAATTAGATTTACTTGGTTACATCTAAAGTTAGTCTTCAATATTAGGGCATTTATGTCCTCTGTAAATAACACGAGAGTCTAATGACAGTGATATGGATAGACCTGTCTCTATTGACCCTGTGGAGGAACAGTTTGAATTGCAATCACTTCCATTCCAATTGTGAATACCGAACCTACTCCAATTCTCATTTGTGGCAAACTCCAGCCAAAAGGCAGAGAAGGGAATATTTCCACTATATGACAAATAATTTTAGAAAAGCAATCCAGATACCAATAGGAAAAGTAGTCAATAAACAGTTTAATCTCAATCATGTTCTTGGCAGAGTTAGGAGAAAAAAAAAATAGAGAGATAAGGAGTATTTCAACCACTGGGTGTCTCTCCTGCTCTATGTATACAAATGGCAATAGTCCACTCTCTAGTCCAGGTGAAAAGGCATGTTTATATTTAGTCTTCAGGAAGAGAAAATCAAATAACAGAAAAGGCATATTTGATTATAAAATTCCCTACATAGAAAAAGTATTCAGCTTTAGAAATAATGGGACATTAAACCTGGGATTGTAACAGAAATGGGACAAGATGGAAAATATGCTGATTATATTATAATTCTTTTTGCTAGCGTGTTTTAAATCCTGGTTTTTATATTTCCTTCTTTGTATAAAGAATTAAACATGGCATTCTAAAGTTTTACTTACTTATAATTCTGTACAGAATATCCATTACAAGGTAAAGTTTTAGACTTCATTAGGTTACAAATCCAATATGAAAAGAAAATCCTCAGATGATTTACTGAGTAATCAGAATAAAATAATGTCTTATTTTCAAAATTTCCTAGAGGGAGGAAATTTTGAAAATAAGACATGTCACCAGCAAAAAAGTGTTTTAGGATTATTCAAGATTAAGTGTATTTTTTGAAAAAGCTAACAATTATAACCAATAAATTACTTCATTGAGGTAATATATTAAATACCTTGAACTAGGTCATTTGTCCTATACTTATTTCATTGAATCTTGCATAAATTATTTTTACCATGATCTTTCCACAAGACACTTTAAAGATAAAACATGAATTCTTCCCTCAGTGTTCTTTTAAATAAATCACCTTTAGAAAAAAAAATCTTTTTTTCTCTTCAGCCATCAATTTTAACTTTTGTTCTGCTACCATCCTTCACAAGAAAGCAATCTATGTTCACTTTGAAATTAAAATCTAATTTTAAAACAGATGGGAGCTAGGTATTAAATTTTACCTATACTCAAAAGAAGAAAAATGCACTTAAATAAGCATGCAACAAGTGACAAACTCTTATGTTATTATGAAATGTATAGATTTTAAGACAAGCTTAATAGGAAGCAGCACTGGTGCACAAATTAGTGCACTGGTCCTCTAGTGAAAAATAAATGACAACATCTTTTAGAAAGATAAAAGAAATGGTAGCATTGACTTAATAGTACTCTACAATTGTTAGTGTAGATAGCTAGATACTAATAAAGGAAGTAAAGGGAATCAGACAAAAACTCTAATAAACTAGAGAGCTGAATCAGACAATAAACCTGCTTCATTAGGGAGCTACAGCTTCATACACTCTCCAGGGATCCACTGCTTCCTCTGTCCTCAGGACCTAACAGGCAGGAAGGATCTTTTAGTCAGATTACTGAGGAAGAGATAAAATAGCAGGAGAAATACCTCTACTGGGCACATGTGCAGTAGAAGCCAAGATGGCACACAGAGAGAGGTCCCTCCACTTTCAGTCTAACATCTAAAAAGATAATATCTCTCTCTCTCTCTCTCTCTCTCTCTCTCTCTCTCTCTCTCTCTCTCTCACACACACACACACACACACACACACACACACACACATACACACACACACACACACTCTTGCCCCATGGTTTCTCTCACACATGAGTCTCTATAGTAGTCAGGCGGCCCTAGCAGCCAGAAGCCTCAAGATGTGGAACTCCAAACAATAGCCTGCCACCGCACCAGCCCAAGTGCAGCCAGGAACAGACTAAACTAGCTGGATAAGGTCAGAGGCTAAACTGGAATAAGCTGCAGCATGGCAAAATTTTTGGACACTGGCCTTTGTTCTGGGCTTGATGGAAACAAGGCTGGTCATATTCCACAGTGGGTCAGGTAGAGATGATACTCCAGGAACCTGGGGGGTGCTTTTCATTTCAACCCCAATAAATCTTACAACACCACCTCAACCTCCCATGGGTGGATCCATAAAAAAGCTTTTCTTATTTCTACTGGCAACACAATGATCCAAACTACCATTAGTAGGACTGATATAACTTCCAATAATACTATACAATGATCCAAACTACCATTAAGTAAAGTTTAACCTTTAGGTTAATTTGCGTTAAAAAGTACTTGAGTATAATTGTATAATTTCCTTTACACAAAAGATTTCGGAATTAACTATTTTAAAACATTTAGCATTTCATTTTGTCACTGTATAGATATATATTTTTCAGACCAAAAGACATTTTTTTAAAAAATTGGTCTCTTCATACATTTACTTGTAACCTGTTGTTCTTAACACATGCTCCTTGAGTTGCTTTTCTGTGGCATTTATATTTTGAACTAAACAATCAATTTTGTATAATGTTGCCTCAACTCCTGTTCTACCTCCACCCATCCACCTTGAGATGTAACGGGATTAAATTTTTCTCTAAGCAGACTGACGATTCCGAATGGCTAATGAACCCATGAATCTTATTTTCTTTCACAGATGGCCTACAGGTCTTAGTTTTCATTCTGACATGTTAATTTGCAAATATATTAGGATACATTCTGGCATGTCTAACATGAATCATAAGAAAACATTCATTTCTGTTTGGGCTAAGTATCTCACTTCAGTAGTGCCATACAATCAACCTAAAAATTTTATGAAAAACTTCATGGGAGTACACCTAATTTTTTGGAAAGCATTATAAACTTTGATCATTCTTAAAATAGTTGAAAGCTCCACTAAATAAAATCCTTAAATCTGCTCAAGCAACCTATAAAAAGGATAGTCATATAAGTTTCCAATTTCAGTTACTTAACTTACTAATATTTTTCTGTTTATAAAAATAAGGCTGAGAAACCAAGATGATGGCATAGGTAAAAACCTGAACTTGTCACCTCATACAACAACTTCAAAACAACAACTAAAAGACAAAGTTGACATCATTCAAAACCAAAGGAAGACTGGCTGAGTGGAAATTCTACAACTAAAAGGAAAGAGAAAAGCATACTGAGACTCAGAGGAGCTGTGGAAGTAAAGTGCAGAGGTATGGAGGTGTGCACACATGGAAAGGACTGGCAACTGAGTACACAGATGTCTTTTTTAATCAGGAGGAAGAAATAAGCTCCAACTCCAGTTCTGGGCGAGACTCTGGGCACCCAGACTCATACTGAGAGAAACTGGAGGGCCTCTTAAGGCAGGGCTGACAGGAAGCCATTGCTGTTTGCTCTGCCCTGAGATCACGCCCCACTCAAGCTGTGTGCAGAGGTTTTTCATATGAATGGCCTGGTCCTTTGAAATCTAAAGTTACCTAACAAACTGCAGTTGAGTCAGAGAGACCCAGAACATCCAAAAGAAGGCCCAAGGCCCCACAGCAGCTTGCATTGCTTCACAGCTGGGCCTCATCTGGGCACCTCCAAAATACAAACAAAGAAGAGAAATCTGCAGATCTCTCTGTAGCTCCTGCTGGGTGGCCTCAGGCAGAGGTTAAATTAGCACCTACTTAGAGATCCAAGACCTAGTGTATCTAGTGGCCAGAGTGGGACAATCAAGATTACAACTCCTCAGATCCATAAGGGACACACTAAGGTGGTAGACTCAGTGAGCACCAAAGCCCCACTAAAGCAAGTCTTGCCTCATAGGGATGTCCCCAGCACAGTTCTCCCTTCGTAGATACAGCTGATCTTCACAGCCAATTGGCCTGGAGGTCAGTTCCTCCCAGTGATACCAACAACAATCAAGGCTAACTACTACAACAAAACTGTGCACACAGCCCACAAAGGGGTTCAACCAAGAGTATCCACCTCAGATAACTGGGGAAGCTGACCCACTGGGTCCTACAGGACACCTAGCACACAAAGCCACTATCTATACAGAGAAGCAGCCAAAATGAGGACAAAGAAGCAAGTCACATATGAAAGAAATGGAGAATTTAGAGTTCAAAACCATGGTTATAGGTTTTTCAAGAATTTTCTAGAAACTGCCGATAAATTTAGTGAGACCCTCGAGGATATTAAAAAGGATCAACTAGAAATTAAGCATACACTGACTGAAATAAAGAATAATATACAGAGATTCAATAGCAGACTAAAGGATCGTAAGAATCAAGCAAAGATTTGAAATATAAAGAAGCAAAAAACGCTCAACCTGGATAGAAAAAAGTAAAAAGAATCCAAAAAGTTGAAGATAGTGTAAGAAGCCTCTGGGACAACTTCAAAGGTACCAACAAACAAATTATGGGGGTGCCAAGAAGAGAGAGAGCAAGATACTGAAAACCTATTTGATACTGAAAACCAATTTGAGGAAATAATGACTGAAAACTTCCCCCACCTGGTGAAAGAAATAGACTTACAAGTCCAGGAAGCACAAAGAACCCCAAACAAAAGGAATCCAAAGAGGACCATACCAAGACACATCATAATTAAAATGCCAAGAGCAAAAGACAAAAAGAGAATATTAAAAGCAGCAAGAGAAAAAGTTACCTACAAGGGAGCACCCATACGATTGTCAGCTGATTTCTCAACAGAAACTATGCAGGCCAGACGGGAGTGTCAAGAAATATTCAAAGTGATGAATAGCAAGAACCTACAACCAAGATTACTCTACCCAGCAAAGATATCATTCAGAATTGAAGGTCAGATAAAGAGCTTCACAGGTAAGAAACAACTAAAGGAGTTCATCACCGACAAACCAATATTATATGAAATGCTGAATGGTATTTCTTTTTTTAAAGGTATATTTTATTGATTTTTTACAGATAGGAAGGGAGAGGGATAGAAAGTTAGAAACATCAAAAAGAAACATCGATCAGCTGCCTACTGCACACCCCCTACTGGATATGTGCCCACAACCAAGGTACATGCCCTTGACTAGAATCGAACTTGGGGCACTTAAGTCCACAGGCTGACATTCTATCTACTGAGCCAAACCGTCCAGGGATGAAAGGTATTCTTTAAGAAGAGGAAGAAGAAAAAGTTAAAGATAAAAATTATGAACAACAAATATATATCTATCAACAAGTGAATCTAAAAATCAAGTGAATAAAAAATCTGATGAACAGAATAAACTGGTGAATATAATAGAATCAGGGGCATAGAAAGGGAGTGGACTGACAATCCGCGGAAAGGGGTGTGGGGAATGCAGGAAGAGATTGGACAAAAATCACACTCCTAAGGATGAGGACAGTGGCGGGGGGATGTGAGGTTAAGGGTATGGGATGGGGTCGGAACCAGGTGGAGGGGAGCTATGGGGGGATAAAAGAGAAACAACTGTAATAATCTGAACAATATAGATTAAATAAATAATAATAAAATGTTTGCAACATCAAAAAAATAATGTTAGGTCATCACTTTTAAAAGATTTAGAATATATAGTATAAAATAAAATTCTAAATTTCTACCACTAAACATATGTTAACAATCTGTTAATATGATGTACTTCTTTTCTACATTTCCTAACATATTTCAAGTCATATAAAATTTAGTGTTTTGCTTTTTTTAACTTAATAATATAGCTATTAAAATGCTATAAGATTCATTTAATCATTTTTCTATTAGACACATAGGTTTTTAATTTTTAATATATAAAAACATTAAAGAAATTTGTGCATACTACTAATCTTTTTCTTTATTTAGAATATATATTTAAATGTATATTCTTACCAGATTCTCCAGCACTAAAATGATCAAGTGGATTCCCTTCAGCATCTGGGTTTAGTAACATCATTTCAAATGGTATATCTTCCACTTGAGAATTCTCATTGTCATCTTTGCATGTATACTTGTCTGCGTAAAATACGTGCCATGTTTGTGGATACGGAATCTGGGATATTGTCAGATTATGTTCAGTCTGATTCATGGTCACTTTAAAGAGAAAGAAGATAGCACTTTCAAAGCAAAACTCTCACATGTATTTGATTGAAGTTAAAACTTTCTCTTTTTCTTTAAAGGTTTTTATTTTTATTTTTATTGATTTGAATTCAAAGAGGATGGGAGAAATAGAAAGCGATAGAAATATCAATGATGAGAGAGAATCACTGATCGACTGTCTCCTGCATGCCCCCTCCTAGGGAGCAAGCCCCAAATCTGGGCATGCGCCCTGACCTGGAATTGAACCACAATCTCCCAGTTCATAGGTTGAAGCTCAATCACTGAGCCACACCAGCAAGACCTCTTGTTTAATTCTTATAGCCTTAGAAATTCAAACCTTGTTGCAGTATTGGTATATGGTCTGTATATTATGAAACAGAGAAAAATAATGAAATAATGTATTTTAACCAAAGGAAGCACTATGATAGTACTATATACCACAAATGAGTAGAATGGTTTTGCTGAAACTCTGATTTTTAATTTTAAATGTTTCAAAATTTTCAAGTTGGTGACATTAAAATTTTTAAATTAAATTTACTGGGGTGACATTGGTTAATAAGATTACATAGGTTTCGCGGGTACATAATCTTAACATTGATTAATAAGATTATATAGGTTTCTATGATACATGATCTGTAGATCGCATTGTGGTAAAATATACAAAAAGCAAGTTACCATTTGAATGATTTTTAAGTGTTCAATTATGTGGCATTAAATACATTCAGAATGCTGTATAACCAACACAATGACATTTTTGAAAACTACTGATTTGAGTTAAATTTAAAAGGAAACATTCAACTTAGAAAATCATATCTAATAACTATGACTGACAAATACCTTCAAAAGATTTTCCAAAATCTTTTTCTAATTGTCAATTCTTTAAAAAGGCATTAAAAGCAAAAAAAAAACAAAAACAAAAAAAAACAACCAACAACAAAAAACAAACAAACAAAAAAACAGGAGAAGGAGGAGGAGGAGAAATTATAAGAATTATAAGTCACCGGGGGAGCAGGCGGGGCGGGTGCGGCCAGGCCCGGAGCAGCGGCTGCCAGGCTGGGAGCGGCCAGGCCCGGGGGAGCAGGCGGGGCTGGTGCGGCCAGGCCCGGAGCAGCGGCTGCCAGGCTGGGAGCGGCCAGGCCCGGGGGAGCAGGCGGGGCTGGTGCGGCCAGGCCCGGAGCAGCGGCTGCCAGGCTGGGAGCGGCCAGGCCCGGGGGAGCAGGCGGGTCGGGTGCGGCCAGGCCCGGAGCAGCGGCTGCCAGGCTGGGAGCGGCCAGGTCCGGGGGAGCAGGCGGGGCTGGTGCGGCCAGGCCCGGAGCAGCGGCTGCCAGGCTGGGAGCGGCCAGGCCCGGGGGAGCAGGCGGGTCGGGTGCGACCAGGCCCGGAGCAGCGGCTGCCAGGCTGGGAGCGGCCAGGCCCGGGGGAGCAGGCGGGTCGGGTGCGGCCAGGCCCGGAGCAGCGGCTGCCAGGCTGGGAGCGGCCAGGCCCGGGGGAGCAGGCGGGTCGGGTGCGGCCAGGCCCGGAGCAGCGGCTGCCAGGCTGGGAGCGGCCAGGCCCGGGGGAGCAGGCGGGTCGGGTGCGGCCAGGCCCGGAGCAGCGGCTGCCAGGCTGGGAGCGGCCAGGCCCGGAGCAGCAGCAGCCAAGTCCAGAGCAACTAGGTCGGGAGCGGCAGTGACCAGACCCGGAGCAGCTGGTTGTGCAATGAACCAGAGCAACAGAGGCCAGGCCCTGAGCAGCCAGGCCCAGAACAGCTCGCTCCTTGCCTGCCCCTGCCCCACGGCTGCTTCTCAGACATGGCTGGAAACTTTCGTGGGAACTTGAGGGTCTGCTGAATCAAGTGATGAAGGCTTAGATCTGGATGTGTTGAGTTAGTTTAGGACTGGGGTGTTGATCTGTGAGTGCCTTGGGTGGGGCCTGGATGAGGCTGGTGGACCTATTGGGAAATGTCTTTTGTGTGAAGTGTATCATTGGGCATGTGGAGGTATTATTGATATGAGAAAATGCTAAGTAACTGATTTACTATCTGAAAAGGGATTTACTATTGGGGAAAGGGAGGGAAGAAGAGACTGAACATAAACTGCACCTATGGATGAGGACAATGGGGATGGGGGGGTGGACGGAGGGTGGGGTGGGAACCTGGTGGAGGGGGGAAGAAATGAGGAACCTTTGTAATAATATGAACAATAAAGATTGATTTAAAAATTAAAAAAAAAAAAAAAAAAAAGAATTATAAGTCACTAGCAGTGATTCAGAGTTATTACACTGGGTCAGGTCTATATAGTGGTGGGAGAGAGGGGACTCATCAATGTTGGCATCACACAAAGCTGTACTTGATCCTGGCTCCAATACTTACCTTCCATGTGACCTTGGGCAACTTACATAAGCAATGCCTCACTTTCCTCAGCTGTAAAATGAAGGTAATACTTAGAGCAAAGAGCTGATGAGGACCAAATTATATGTCACGTGGCATGGTATCTGTCATATGATTCTTGCTGAATAAAGGTTTATTCTCCTTTTCCTTTCTTTAAAACAGGATGGTTACACTAAAAAAATATTTTATTTCTCAATCCAGGGTAATCCTGTTTCTTTCCAGGGAATCTGAAAATGTGTAGGGACAGTTTTATTGCCATAATAGTTGAGAAGATACTTGGAGGGGGCTATGCTAAGCTTCATGCAATCCAAAGTAAAGTCTCACAAAAAAAGACCTGTTCCTCCCAAAATACCAATAGAACTTCCTTTGAGAAACATTAAATGATGTTTAAGATACCTTCTCAATTCAAATCTATGATTCTGACCTAAGATGTACTTACTAATACCATCACCAAGTTAAAGGAGAATAGTGTCTCACACACTATGTAAAGAGCAAATCTTAGCCCTAATACTTAACAACATATGACTCAGCAAATAAATTACTTAATCTCTCTAAATTTGTTTTTCAGTAGTACAATTAAGATACCTGCCCTAGCTAGCACAGATTCATGAGAGGAACAAATGAGACAGTATATGAAAATGCTATGTAAAGAGTCTGATTCTGTACGAAGTCAAGTATTCTTAAAATTTAGAATTATTATAGGCCTGATTCCTAACTCTAGACTTCCTGCACAGCATGCCAACTACAAAGCAAATGTAACAAAGTATTAACAATTACTGAATCTAAGCAAAGGATGTACAAGTGGTGGTTGTACTTACTTTCAACTTTTCTGTATGACTGAAAATGTTCCTAATAAAAAATTGGAAAAACGTTATTCATATAAGGTTGTCTTTATAAGTGAAATTCTGATGCATCTAGTCAGGATTTAAATTTTGAAGACTTGGACTTTTTAACTGGGAATTTCATTAATAGCAGTTAAAATGGACAAGATGATTTTATCAACAATACTACAGCATTATTTTTCTGACTATCTAAATTTAGCTGACATTTATACTATTGTTTTTTGACTGTATAGCTGCTGGAAAATGTAACAAAGACTCTGATTTCTGTTAAATATTTAAAGACCTTTAGTAAGAATTCAATATATAATCAATTCATGGCTCGCCAGCCCATGTGGCTCAGTGGTTGAGCATTGATCTATGAACAAAGAGGTCACAGTTCAATTCTGGTCAGGGCACATCTCTAATGTGGGGCATGCAGCAGGCAGCTGATTAATGATTCTCTCTCATCACTGATATTTTTATATCTCTCTCCCTCTTCCTTCCTCTCTGAAATCAACAAAAACACATTAAAAAAAACACATACATACATACATACATGACTCAGAAATAAGGTTTTAGAAATATACAGCTTGCAGTTACATAATTTGGACCTCATTATATACAAGCTCTGCAATGTTGCTGTTCTATTTATCATTTTGTAAAAAGGAAAGTAGTGTCTTACACACTACCTTTAGGTTAATTTGTGTTCAAAACAATGTGAGTAGCTTACCTTTTTGTAATTTCCTCTTAGATAAAACAATATAAAAACTAGCCATTATTATTTTAACCAATACACTTTTTAATGTATCATTTTCAGTTATGCAGACTTACATCATATTAAAATAAGAGTGTGCTTCAGAAAGTGTTATAGCCTCAACTTTTTGTCTTGCTGCCTTTTTCAGCAAGCCTGGGAAACAAGCCTTTTGACAAAATTGTATATTCACCGTTTTTGAGACAAAAGACAACAGCACAGCACACATGTTCTATGCTGATGTAATCATACCTCAAATATTAAAAAAAAAAAAACTAAAAAAAAACTTGAATTGCAGAGAATAATGTTACATGGCTACTTATAACAAAAGGCTAATACACAAATTGACCGAATGGAGGAACGCCTGGTCGCTATGATGTGCAGTGACCACCAGGGGGCAGACGCTCAATGCAGGAGCTGCCCTCAGGTGGTCAGTGGGCTCCCACAGGGAAAGCATCACTCATCCAGAAGCTGGCTCACCACTTGCAGCAGCACGGACTGTGAGAGGGCATGGGCCAGGCTGAGGGAGCCCCCAGCCACTGAATGCATGAATATCATAAAAGGAAATTAATTCTGTTAACAGAAACACACAGAATATACTAAAACTTTTAAAGGAATTATAAACATGACAAATGTACAAAAGAAAATATATGCACATGATGTACAAAGACATTATTGAATATGTTTTATATTGCAAAATTATATTTAGCTCTTCTAATCTGACAGTAAATTATTCTTAATCTCCTTGCTAAATTTTTTTACATAAACTTATTTTCAGTGCTTGCTTTAAGACCTACAAAATATTTTATCATTTTTAAAGCTGATGCTTTATGACATTACTAAAAGAGAACAAAGGACGACTAAAAACTAATTTTTCAAACATTCATTTGGGCAAATGTATGTATACTCAACTGACACATTTGACAATAGGGGATTTTTCAAATCTGCTAGTCTTTCATTGTTCATAGCAGCAGTAAGGTTTTACACAGGCATTAGGAATAGTTAATGAACTCATTACTAAGTAGGTGAAAGACTATTAATTCTTAAAATCTCA